TATATAGAGAGAAATATATATATATATATATATATATATATATATATATATATATATATAGAGAGAGAGAGAGAGAGAGAGAGAGAGAGAGAGAAGGAAGGAGCAGAGAGGAAAGTAGAGAGGGGGAGGGAGTAAGAAAAGTGGAGGAACAGAAAATAGATATAAAGAGAAATGTAGAGAGAGAGAGAGAGAGAGAAGTACAGAAAGAGAGAAAAATGAAAGAAAAGAGAGAAGGCATTGGTTAATGGGGCCGTCGACGGGGGGTTGCGTCCCGAGCACAATGAGGATCAAACCTCTGCGAGGAAAGGGAATCGAGCCGAAGTTAGCTCGCCGGAATGACAGTGCTCGTTCCACTTGCCACACGAATTTCACTACTTAATAAAGCGGCGGACTCACCTGTCGGAGATGGTGGCCGACGAAGGACGCAAATTGAGATGTCTCACCTGAATGGGAACTGCGGGAGCGGGTCAGGCTGGGGGAGGCTGCGGGAAGAGGCTTTCGAGACCATTATCGTTGACAGTGAAACGACAAGGGGTGGCTCAATTTTGCAGAGAACCTGCAACGAGGCCTCGATTACACCAGCGGATTGTCTTCCGGTCTCGCATCCGTTTGTTTAACAATCGTCTGGGAATGCTGCACTTGTTCCATCAACATCTCCAGCTTTTTCAATGTTTCTTTCCCGTCCCACCACTGTAAACATTGAACTAATTTTACACATTAATCTCTGACAATAGATGTAATCTTGAAATTGCGTTACGTTAGTAACAATTGAAAATTAATCATTCTTTCGAGTTCGAAAGTTCTTATTCAAACATCGACAATTAATTTTAATGTTCGCATGTTTCATTAAAGTTTATAGAAAACCTAATATGTGTCTAGCTGAAATACTTGAAAAATCGCATTGCTATATCATATTCCAAAGTAGTTGTTATATGTAACAATAGTTACAACATGTATAATTAATATTTAATTATTTCTAATACAATAAAATCTAATAATATCTGTAATATAAATACATATATAATAATACAGAAATAATTTAAAGGGTAGAAAAAGCAATGTATCGGAAGAAGAAACTAGTCACGCCATATTAGAAGTCTCAAATACTGTCCCAGGGTGGCCATATTGAAATTTTAGACGTCTATATCTTGTACATTCATTGGAAGCGTTTATTTGATTAAATAATGCTCCGATCGGACTTAATGAACACTCTACAAATGATTGTCTTCTTCACAAGCATATGCGGATGCATTCGAGTAGATACGCATAAGACCGAGTGCACACTCAACGTGTTTACACTGGCAATCACTTGGACAGGACCTCTCAAATATTAGCTCAGAGATTGCCATAAATGTACAAGCATTAACGCAGTCCAAATTGACTTGTCCAAAAGTCGCTGCATAAAATAGCATGTGCGTTTCTTGCAAATAGAAATGTTTTTATACGGTAATCAAACAAAGACAGTTCCGAAGAGAGCCTTTAGAACAACCCACCTGTACAGACTGTCTCAAAAATGCAAACAACTCTTTGGAGAAGGTCACGTTTCCGGTGAGCACAATTGGAAATTAATAATTCTTCAGAATTCAAAAATTCTCATTCAAACATCAAGTTTCTGACAACTAATTACAATATATATGTTCACATGTTTCATTAAGATTTATAGAAAACAACGTATCTAGCTGAAATACCTGAAAAACACACTGCTATATGACGTTTCAAAATAATGTTATATGTAACAACATGTATAATTAATATTTAATTATTTCTAATATAATAAAATCTAATAATAGCTGTAATATAAATATGTAATATGATATAAAAATGATTTATACATATATTTCGATTCTTAATCATTTACTATATTAGTGGAGTATATATGTGAACATAAAAATAAAATATGTATAAATATACACAATTATACATATCATATAGCTATTGTTACACACACATATAATGGTGTAACTCATACAATAGTCTACATAAAATACAATTACATATACAATAGTATAACTATGGCATAAGTCACAAGACTCAATTTCATATACATAAAATATAACGAGACATATAAAATATAAATACAAGTCGAACTAGTTTGGATTCAGAATTAAAATGTCTCCGAGTACAAAAGGTTGATGACCCTAAGTGAACGCAGTTATAGTTTTGTCAAGAATGTCCGAGTATTAAATTCCGTGGCAGCATCTTCTATTTGGAACTTTTTCGATCGGTCGTCCGACATCTTCTAATTAGCACCGAGCCAAGTATTTAGCTCCGATAGGATTTTCTTAGCATCCAGCCGGCCCGTTGAAGAAGGTATTATAACATCCGTCCGTGGGGATGTTGGAGGAGCGCGCGACCGGGCATAAATGTTGCAAAAGCCCTGATCCAGCTGCGCGGCTGTTTAAAATTCATACAAAGCGAAGCCAAGGCAGGCTTGACCCACTTGAGGCTGCCAGGTAGAACAGTGGTGTCCCCGTATTTGGACAGCGGCATGTCTAGCCCGCGACGATGCACTCCGTTCATTAAATTCACGGCGGATAGACGACCTCGGGGACTCGGTGCAACCCCAATCTCGTCGGTGTCGTTCCGTTGCCACCGGTATCCCGGCTTATCATCCAACACGAATAAGCTTGTACAGATGTTGCAGATTCGGTCCTGGGATACGTCTTGATCCATCGAGATTGAACGGCTTCCGATCTCGTACAGTGTACAGGAAGCCGGGACCTTCCTATTTCACCGTCCACGACCATTCGCGGCTCCATCGATCGATTTCTCTCTCATTACCAATCCGCCGATCTTTATATAACATAAAAAGGTTTTACGCTCACAACAAGTAACAATAACCACTTTGAAATTTTTTTCTTCTGTGATTTTAATACTAGGTAAAAATGTAAAATATATTGCCACTTTTATATTGTTTCAATCTTCTTGGTATTTCAAATTGCACTTTTCCAGTTTTGCCATAAATGCATAAAATCTGCGCTCGTTACACTGGCATCGATAATTCACTGTTTAATTAACACTTGGGAATTAACAGAAATTCCAGGAATTTGTTTGAATTCTCAACGACCTCGAATGCTCTTCGAAATATAAGAATTCCTTCTTAATTCGTCCGAATCTAAAAAGTTTCCAGAATTATACGGAAACATTGTCTCTTTTCACGATAATTAGTGCACCGTTGATTAGACCGCGAAACTTTCTGCGAAATAAAAATCTTCGCACAAAATTGTAAGAAGTGAGAGCTGAATAAGATTGTATCTCGTCTCTTAACAGTTTGAGTTACATCAAAATATCATGCCTGGGTCCTTTCGGTCTTTCCATGTTCTTTCCACGTTACTGCTTCGTATATCACGTGCATGTGCCGTTTGTCCATGGTAGTAGTCGAGTTTCCATGGATCCCACAGGACCTACAAAAATTTGATTCATTCAATACATTGTCCTAAACATCAATTCTTAAGTCTACCTAAAAATTGTGATGTACAAGGTACCGAATAATTATATGTTAACACTTGGAATGGAGTGATTTCTTGGCTTTTCGTTAACAACCCGTAAACGAAGCATTTTCGCTAAGGAAAAAATTACTTCAAATGACCCAAGAAATCGCCCCTTTCCTGTATATTTTAATAAGCATCCTACAGAAAAAATTGATTTCTCATTCCTGGCGAAATCAAGTTCACAGCGTCCGCATGTTTTCTGGCTTGGAACGTATGTTTGTTTTTCGTACAGCTGATTACGGTCCACACCGTATATCATGCACGTTTCTCAACTTTTTAAAGCGTATTATTCTGCCTCCATCTACTCTAATAAATTTCCATATGCAAAGAAGTCCCTTCTCGGCCGCGTGTTCGCACAGACGCGTCGCAGCGTCGTTATTAAACCAGTCGTTAAAGAGGACAACGCGGGACCTCCCACGATCATGCCGCTTTGCTCAAATTACACGACACCCGTGAATCATCTCTTCATTGTCGCGCGCGTACGTGCCGCATTCAAAATTTATCGTTAACTGTCCGTGGCGGCGGTTTCGCCTTATCGCGTTTGAAACGTCACAACACTGATACCGAATCCTCGTGATCCCCGCGATTCCTAGACCCTCTGCGGCCGCCATTTCGACCAATAAATCTTGACTAGATTGACGATACACTGGCGAACGGACGTCAAACGTCCGCCTGATAACCGCCATTTCGGATCTACGTCCGTGGCTCCCCTTAAAGTGTAAGTTTCAACTGTGAACCGAGGGCCTTCTTAACACTTAGCCAACCGAATCGGGAAATCTTCCCGTTTTAAATTGAGTCGCTCGATGACCGAACGAAATTTCCTAATTTAATTTTTAGAAATTAATTTTTACGCTAATCGACATTATGATTTCTTAATTTTATTAAGATTTGCAGGAGGTACGAATATTGAACAAGTAATTGATGCGAAATAAGTTTGATTTGCAATTTTAATTTAATCGAATAAAATACTTCGATTTTATGAAATTTTTTAGCTTGTCGGAGCGGTCGTGAAAGTGTTAAGAAAACAGCAGATTTTCTCCGTTTAATAACAACAATTTATGTCGTATTTGGGTTTCTACAAGAATAATAGCCGATTCAGAACAAACTTTGAAATGCTACAACTTAGCACAAACTTAAGTTTATTACTCGATTAACATTGAAATCAAAATTATTAGACAAATGCGACAGATTTTATAGACTATGAACGAAATGGATTTTTTATCCCGACCTCTGTAACATAATCTAGACAAAATTCGAATTCATCTGAACCAGAAGTTGCATTGCTGTTATAATCCAAGTATTATTTATTAGTTATAGTAGTAGGTAGTAATAATGGTAGAGTGTGAGTAGTATCGGTTGATAATGTTCAATTAAAAAGCAGTAAATAACCGAGCGAATCGCACCCTCGCGACTATTACATTCTGGCTTTATTGCTCGGAGATCCAGACGATCTCCGTTTTAATTGCGTTTTTTTCGGATATCTATGAGAGTATTCCGCGAGGGTTTCCAACAATTGATCGTCGCACGATGGAAGCGAAAAGAGGGGGACGACTCGAGTGCCTAAAGGTTGATTCACATAAGAAGTACGCTCCACATTCGATAAGAAAATGTCGAGTTTGTCGCTAATAAAATTGTGCATTTGCCGAATATTATGCTACAGATTAATTACTTTAAATCGGAAAACGAAAATTAGAGAGGAATGATAGAACAAAATGTACATTGCCTTTTACACAAATTCGCTTTGAAATATAAAAATATAAATGTACACCCCCTTATGATAATATATTATCTAATATACATGTACAATAACAAATAATAATAATGATAACAATAATAATATATCTCTAAATATATCAATAATAATAATATATCAACAGAATATTTGCGACATTGAGGAAAATGTAAAATATAAAAAGCTAAGGATCGATCAAGCGTTTGAATTCTAAAATTCAAAAAATTGTTTAAATTGAAGTTAACCGATCTGGCTTGAAAACAGCTCGCCTGTACAATGAGCAGTGACTCACTGTTTTTAATTTTGAAAACATCTGACGCGTCTGGTCCCATGATCTGTTATCGTGAGGGACCACGCGAGCACGGTGCGGCGCCGCGTCTAATGTGAATCGAGCTTAAGGGAGGACAAACGCACCCCCCGCGTTTTCGCGGAACTCTCACGCCCGACGTGGGACAGATTTACAGCAATTAAAACGCACGGAACCCGAGGAAACCCGTTTACGCGACGCCTGCGATCCTCCGGCGCCGGATTGAAACGGGGGTTCGTTAAAATCGTGCCGGGATTCGAGAACGTGCTCGCATCCGGACGCCTCCCTTGACGATTCTAAGTGACAAAATAGCGGGAACGAACACAGTCCGCTAACTTCCTACTAAATCCTCATTCCCGTGGAATACTGTCTATTAACTCTAGGGCAGTTCGACCGAAAACTGCGGCTCGGTAGCCCGACATTGTGCAACCTCTGACCCATATTTCAATCTCATATCTTCCTACTCGATCGAGAACGTCCAGCGCAGCCAACGACACCCTTGCTGATCGTGCAGGAATGATCTTGAACGTAACGGACCGCATTTGAAACAAACTTGTGTGGGTAAATTTTAAGATAATACACAGAGAATAATTGAATAAATTATTGTAAGAAGAAGGACATTCTTATTTGGTTGCTGCGTTTTGCAATTCTTGCAGAACATTTTTATTTTGTTTTCATCGAATCTTAATTGCTAGTGCTGCGGATTTTATACACTCATGATAAAAGTGACTAGATAAAATACCAGAGTGTGAACATGTTAGAAAAAATTGAAAATTCGTGTCACATTATTATAACTATTGTCGGGGGTTTCGCGTCTGATGTGCTCGTGAAATGAGTCCAAGGGTGGCTACATCTTATTTTCGCTTTTATACCTGGGGTGTTCACCACGAATTTTCCCTAATTGGTCAGTGCTGAGCAGCGTGCTGACCAATCAGGTCGCGTCCTTTTTTTACGACTTTTGCGTGACTGCAAATTTTTTAGCACTGTAACGGATTTCCTCCGGGCCTGCTCGACGACACGTAATGCGGCCGGTCGTGGATCGATTGCGGTCAGTCGTGGGCCGTTGGGCCTCGGTCTGCGGACCCTTCGGAAATCACGGGGTTTATGATACTAGCATTAGCTATTGAGACCGAGATTGAAAGATACTAATGCTTTGTGGGTACTATATGGGTACGCGTTGAGACGGTTTTCTCAAAAATAGCTTTCACTGTTGCTAGTGCCATAAACCTTTTGTTGGGTATCTGTACGGCCATCGTCCACGGTGCCATATACCGATGGTCGCTACACTATTGAAAGAGGAAATACAGTTTTATTTAACTTATGTCTTCTACCATTGAGTTAGACAATGTTTATTTTGCATAAAGTCTATTTAACCAGTCAGCTGTTTCAGTCTCTTTGAAAAGTGTTACCATAATTCAAAGTTGAGATTTTATTCGAATAACGAGTAGAATTTTGTTCGAAGAATTTGTTGATTTCATTTAAATACGACATTTTTATAAAATACGTAATTTAATCAAGAATATCAAAGAGTGTCCCAAAAATGTCTCGCAATTCAGTAATGGATTCCTGAACTAATAACTCGTTAATAACTCGTAAACAAAGCCGCGGATTGCATTTTCGCTAAGGAAAAAGTTTCTTCAAATGACCTCAGGAACCCATTCCCAGATTACGAGACATTTTTGGGTCACCTTGTATATCCCTGTCAGCTGTGTCTGACGAGTATACCGGTCGCGATAAAATGGCAACATCATGTTTCACTGTCAATCTAATTCATTAATCATCGACGTTCATACGTGTCGCTTTAGTTCGGTCAAACAGCAAATACAACAACTTCGTCACCGTTAAAATGCACCGATGCTCGAACTACCCCGATAAGCAAAGCCGAGAAATTTCATACACCGTAATTTCCGTGGAAAGACTAACAATTGAAACAAAAATTTCAAGCAGCGTGACACTTCGAGCGGCCGCGAACGAAATTGGTAATTAAATGAAATCGCCAATTAAGTCGGCGAACATTCGCGTTAACAATAACAATCCGAGAAAGTGTTATGCTCCAGCGAGGAGGATACACGTGCATCGAACGATGACATCCCCCCGGCATCATTCATCGAACTTTTCAGTTTCTCCGCGACGAGGCCGTGTAATTAGGTGATCCGGCACCAGAACAACGGCGTGATTATGCGCTGGAAATCGGGGAATAGGAGGAGTTCGCGCTCTCGTACGCAATTCATAATTATCGCGGCGCGCCCGTTCTTTTCCTCGGCGAGTCGTGTCCGCTCGGCCGACGCCGGGCCGGGGGGAGGAAATTAACTAGACGCGCGCGTAATTAAAGCAATTTGTCAGGGGACACCCCCGATGATGCAAATTACGAGCGACGTTTCCGAGATGATTGTCGCGACGCTGCTTGTTACGGCCAGGCGGTGCGGGATTGTTGTTTTCATGGAATCGTTGATGGTTACTTCGCGCGGCAGTGTCGCCGGTTTAATGATCGAACGGGGTGATTATCGGGAAACAAATGCGCGGCACGGAAAGTTCATGGAATTCAGCGATTCCCGTTGCATTAGCTGGAACTGGACACTTTTACGTCTCCACCCCACCGAATTGACCTGAAATTATTTTTCTCGGCCTTGTTGATTCCAATTTTATAGTTTTCGCAAATAAACGATCGTCGTTTGTTCGGTAAATATTGTAGGAATTATTAAATACTGCCAGCCATTATCAGATATCGTAAGAATTATTAAATATTCTAGAAATTATTAGATATTGTATTTGTTATTATTTTATTATGGTATTTATTATAGTGTTATATTAAAGATTATACTTATTATATTAATTGGTAAATATTAACTTTTGTGAAGCGAATGTAACAAACACAAACGTACGATATTCGTTGACTCTGTCTAAACTCTGTTGATCCTAGCAACTAAGTAATTGCCGATTTGTTCAATGAAATAACAAATTTTTTGTTACTTGGAATTAAGTTTAATCTTTAATGTATTTTCCATTTTGTTCAATGACCTTTTGCCATCTCTCTGACAACTTGAAAATTCCACGCTCGTAGAAAGTCTGATCCTTTTCGGCCAAAAACTGAGTTAAGTGAGATTTTACAGCGTCGTCATCGTTAAAAGTTTTACCACGAAGGGAGTTGTCCAGGGATCGAAATAAATGGTAATCCGATGGCGCGAGATCAGGGCTATATGGTGGGTGTGACATCAATTCCCAACCAATATTCATCAATTTTTGCCGAGTGGATAAAGACGCGTGCGGCCTAGCATTGTTCTGGTGGAAAATGACACCTTTACGATTGACCAATTCTGGTCGCTTTTCCTTGACCGCTGCATTCAATTTGTCCAGTTGCTAACATTCACGGATAATAAAAAATAACATAATAATAATAATTTTATAATATAACATTTACGGATATCATAAAAATGGGAGTGAGAGACATCTATAACTGAAATCGGCAATTACTTAGTTGTCAACCCAATAGTACGAAGATATCAGAATCCGTCGAAGGGAAAACGTAGAAAGCCATTTATGTTTTAACGTGAAACCGGGCAGTAACATTGATCGGCGTGCAATGCCTTAATAAAAGCGCGAAGATCCAATTTATTTCGATCTTCTGCACTTATTATTGCACCGGTTGCTCCAATAATTATAAAATGAGAAACCGCTTATTCGATCGCGAAAGTTTCATCGCTAAGTATCAGCCGGCTGTTTCAAGTAGAATAAAATTGAAAAACGAAACTGCTCCAAAAAATAAAGGGAAACTTACGCCGCGTTCGACGGCAGAAACAACGTTTCACCTGAGCAACAAACGCGTCCCACTTCCGCGGATTCTGCAATATGAGAATTTGTAGGAAACGATGTCGTGTGATCGCGGTGGAACGTGCCGGTCATCAAGATGTTAATGGGGGGACATAAATTTCGATTGATTTCCCGCGTCCGCGAATAAACCTCCGGGAGATCTGAACGCGCCAATATATACCGGCAGTCGCGAACACGGTGAAATATGATTTGAGGAGTTGCGAGAACGTCTCGGATCCGATCGGGAGGAAATCGCTTCGGGACATCTGTGTTTAGGTATGTCCGGCCGCGACGGTTCGGCAATTCGTACGCGCAGGCATAACGGACGACGTTCCAGTTGCATAAATCAACGACAATAGCGCGAACGTAATCGTTTCGCGGCGGAATGAATAACCGCGTCGATGCTTGCGTCCTCGTTTTCGATCCTCGCCTGTGCAGCGTTAAGAACCAGCCAACAATGAGAATTCCTTTCGACTACATTTCGTTCGAATATACGGTCTTCGCAGCATCCTGATTACTACACTGCGGACTCAATGTTGTGGCAACATAATTTATTCGTTTGGCCGAGTGGAGGCGGAATAGAGACAAATTGTAAGACATCTGGTAAGTGGACTGCGGATCTTATGGATTTGTGACGAAAACTTTGTAGGTCTGTGACGAAAGAGAAAACATTGAAAGCATATTAATATTTTATTAATATTAATAATAATTAATTAATATTAATTATTAATATTAATATTTTCGACTCGTTGAAACGTGTAAACAACGAAATTGACGTCCATGTAGCTCCTGGATCTTGTAATTAGTGCAGACAATCTTTATTTTTCACAAAAAATTCGCAGTCCACCGGTCTACAAATCGAGAAATTGGCCACGCAGCTGCGAGATTGTAATTAATTGAATCTCGATCGTCACTGGCAAACGACAACGTGTTAACACAACGCTTCCTCGAAAGCAAAGACTGACCCAATAAAGATGAAAGTAACCGAAACTTTTGGACCTGTTCTGATTAATTCTGAAGAAAGTCGTATCATCGCCAGTTCAAACCAACCGTGTCTTTTAACGTCTCTTTAATGCTTTTAAAATGAATATCAAGTGCGTCGATGGTAGCGAAACATTCGCCGACGTAAACGCGAGAAAATCGAATGGGAGAAACTTGTTTGTTCGGTGCTTCGCGACGACAAACGTGGATGCGCGTTTCCACTTTCCCGCGCAATTGCTGGCATTCAAGATTTGCACAGAGAAAATTACTCACCGTGCGTAAACAACGTTAATAATTAGAAAAGTCCGCCACCGGGATCCGTGCGTATTTCCTTCTCATTAGTGGAACTAGTTTGTCATTAACCCGTCCTCGGTTCTCGCTCGTCTGCAGTCCTTCTACTAATTCCATCTTCCCCGCCTCCCTCTCTCTCCTCTCTCTCTCTCTCTCTCTCTCTCTCTCTCTTTCTCTTTCTCCTGCGGACAGACAATTATTACGGCCATTTAATGCGAATGTTAGATCGTCGGCTACGTCGCGAGAAGCTCCGCTGCGGAATTCGAGATTTCCATCAGGCGCGACAGAATTTCACTTTCGTCCCGCGAAGAATTCGTATTAAACGGTTCGCTTTCGGATGAGGACACCGAACCCCGTTGAATCGTAAATAACACCGGGAACCATCGCGCGAATGGAAAACCAACATCGCAAGTTTATCATAACAGTTCGCTTTTGCTTTGAGATAATAAAACTAAGTTCGCAGTCTGCGCGGATCTTTTACGCATAGGTTCTTTCGCCGAAGTCGGGGGGAAAGCTTGTTCCTTCGGCTATGACATTCCGCATTGTAAGAATGCTCTGTGTACTTGTAAGTTTCTACCGTTCACTAATTGCTGTCGTAATTGGTAATGCTTCTATGTAATTTCAGACAATATATACAGAGCTATAAACAAACTTTAAAACGTAGTATTACAACAATCGTTCTTTTCTCGTAATTATTTCATGTTAAGGAAGACTGCGAATTCATCGTTGGCTTCCACAAGTTTATGCCAACGACGCGTCGCTTCGTTCGTACAACTTCTTTCGGGTGAAACTTGCTCGAGTAACCAATATTATCTGGCGCACTTACAATGCAAATCCTTGCCGAGGGAACTAACGGAGGTTCGTTTAATTACGTTAGGTAGACCGGTTCTCTCTTAATTCCGGATTCGAGGTGTCTCCTCGAAGGGGGTGTACCAATCAAGGTGTCCCCCGTGTAATAGAAATGAAAAGGTCTCGCGACGTCCCGCAGGGTCTAATAAAACCGTTATTGTTTCCGATGTTCCAGGTAGAATGCAGCGATACGAAACGCGGTGCTGGTCCGCGGCGAGGCGATGAGAAGGCTGAATGGAGGCCGAGGAAGCCTCAGAGCCCCCGGGGGCTCCGACCAACGTCTCCTCGTCAGAGTATACGGACATCGAGCATAGTTGCGGCACGTCGCGGCTGATCTAGACTCGGCTGGGTCGCTATTCCTCCGCCCGGCTTCGAAAATCCTGGTGTCGATCCGGTGAGCACACACGTATCCGAACAGAGAGCCTGAAGGCCGACCGCCTAGAATACCAATCTCGGCATAGAGGATCGTCTACCAACGGCCTGATCACTTCTTTCCTCCGGACGGCACGACCTACTTCGACGCAAACTATCGAGAACTTTGATATGACACCGGCGATCTCCCCGGAGATCGAGATGTACAGAACCTTGACGAGCAACGAAGAGTAATATCGCCAGTTACTAGTATTCAGTTTATCGGTTAAGTGTTAAAAACGAGGGAGTCAAAGAGCCCGAGAATGGCGGCGCCGGTGATCGAGAAGAAACGGTTCTTCTGCCGCGAATGGGCGTTCGTCAAGCTGTCCCATTGCCTGGAGCAGAGGCCAGCCTCGAAGACCTGCGGCGCCTTGATCGTTGGTGGACCGGGAAGCGGGAAGACCGCGCTCTGCGCCGAGCTAGCCTGGCCGTCCACCAGCGCGAACGCTAGGCACCAGAGGTCCTTGAACAGGAGACTACTCGCCAGGCACTTCTGCCAGGCCAGGAGCGAGGCTTCCTTGTCGCCGGCGCAGTTCGTCAGATCTCTGGTTGCTCAGCTCCTGCAGGCTAGCTCGGATGGGATTCACAGGTTGGTGGCCAATGTTCGACTTCCTATCGAACCTGAGTCCTCGTCTTTCGCATCCGATTGTCCTCAAATCCTGTTTTGTCCTTCAAACTAGTCAGATTCGATGAAGATCGCGCGAAAGGATGTTCGTTGAGTTCGGTCTTGTTCTTCGCAGAGCGTCGCCAAATTCGCCGACACCCGGTAGTACCGCAACGACGACCACCAACGCCTCCACGATCCCGTTAACTTCCAGGGAAGCGGTGGCGGAAGCCTACGCCGAGAAACTCCGAACGGACCCAGAGATACAGGCAGCTCTGCAGCCGGACGTCCTCGACAGAGATCCCGATGACGCGTTGAAGAAGGCGCTCCTGTTCCCTCTGTTGGAGGTCGAGCCACCGAAGAGCTGTCTGTTCTTGTTGGTCGACTCCATCGACGAGGGACAAACGTTGAATCCTCCGCAGACCGGCACCAGAGACTCTAGGAGGGAGAATGAGAACGTTAGTAGGACAATTGCTGAACTGTTGGCCAACCACCACCACCTCTTCCCACAATGGTTGCTGCTGGTTTGTACTGCTCGACGTCAGAGTAAAACGATCTCGAGGATGTTCACTGGATTCCGTAAGATCTCGTTGGACGATCTGAGGAAGTCTCACGTGGTCCGAGACGTTCAGCAGTACATTCTTGCACGATTGGATCAAGAAGATGCGCTCAGGTAAATGGGGATTTTATTTCTCTGCGCGATATTCCGTAGAGTCGCCTATTGTAGCTTGAAGAACCAATGGTGTTTCCGTTCGTTCGTATAGGCAGCACATCTCGTGCGACACGGCCGAGATGTTGAACCAGTTGCACATCAAGAGCAACGGCTGTTTCCTGTACCTGGAGAAGGTTCTCGACGGCGTGGCTGAGAACTTCATCGTCCTCCGAGAAGTCCGCGAGATACCAGGCACTCTGAACGGTCTCTACCTCTGGTTGTGCCAAAGACTGTTCAGCAGGAAGCAATTCGCCAAAGTCCAACCGCTGCTGAACGTGATTCTTGCTGCCAAACTGCCTATCACCCAGGAGATCCTCTACAAGTGCGTGAAAACCGCCTGCACAGGCATCACCATCGAAGACTTCAACCGACGCCTGCACCTCTTACGAAGAGTGATCTCGGTGTCCCGTGCTGGTGCGCTGATGCTCTTCCATCACAGTTTCGCCGAGTGGCTATTAGACGTCAAGCACTGTACCCAGAAGTATCTCTGTTCCGCCATCGAGGGCCACGCGATGTTGGCTGCTTACTACACCCTCCGCGGGCCAGACCTAAACCCTGATGAGATCTGCGTGCTGGGACAGCATCTTCAACGATCCATCACCAACGTAGCCACCACGAACTGCAATTCGGACGTTCATACTCTTCAGGTACTCTGGATGATTGGCAGTGGAGCACCGATCGAAGAATGCTACCTAGACAGCTCCGAGTGTATCCTCTGGCCCAGGCAAGAAGTTAAGCTGTTGAGATTGCTTATCGACGCCGGGGCTAAGCCGTCTGAGAAGGTTGTGGAAGACGATACCAACAAGGATGCTGTTTCTTCTAGTCAGGTATACGATCGTCGCTCTTTTTATATTTATCGTAATCGTTCTCTCTTACAGACCGTAAGTACCTTTTTTAATCCTTCGTTAATCTTTGCTTGTTTAGCGATTTGTACGAAGTGTAATTAAGTAGAACAATGATTACCTTGTCGTGTTGTAAAAGGTCTCGCAAGATGTTAGCCCGATGGACGAATCTCCCAGCGAACCGTTAACAGAACTACTTGGCGAGAGCGGGGACATCAATCAAACAGACTCTTGCGGGCGAACAGTGCTGCACACACTCGCTGCAGATGGCAATGCGTCTTTGTTGGAGTTGGCTTTAACAACCTGCCCACAGGTGAATTACCATTTACCAACGTAATAAACTCTTCTGTCAAGAACATTGAAATGAAATTAGACCAGAACCAATAATCGAGCGTAACTCCAGCCACCGTAACGCGTTAAGAATTTCTCACGCTTTCAGGCAAAACTGGAAGCTACGGACCGTCACGGGCAGACACCGTTGAACTTAGCTGCCAGACACGGCTACGCAGATGTGGTTCGTGTGCTTCTGGCTGCCGGTGCGTGTGCGGATCATGCAGACTGTGATGGTTGGACCGCCCTCAGAGCCGCAGCCTGGGGAGGCCACACTCAGGTAATTCATGTTATTAAGTAGATAACGCACTTTGTAAAAACGAAGATACATAGTCTATCGTGTGTACTAATTGAACTTTGGAATTGCCAGTGTTCATTAATTACTAAATTGATACTGTAGTAGATATTAGGGTGTCCCATAAGTTCTTTCCTTTTTTCTGCTGCGAAATGATTACACGATATTCGTTGTTTAAGGTTGATTTATCGAGTTATATATGAACCGTCCTGCTCTATTACCTTCTTCCATCTTTCGGGAAGCCTCACTATGCCGTCTTCTCAAGATTGTTAAGGCTTATTTGCAAAATATTGATCAAGGTGCGTGTTTATTTCGCTTACGAATTTAAACCGTTTTTCACGGAGAGAATCTTTTAACGAGAAGAACAAGTAATAATCGGATGGAGCAATATCTTGGGAGTACGGAGGATGAGGTGGAACGTCTCAATCAAACTGCAATCATTTTTGTCTTACGACCAACGCAACGCGCGGTTTTGCGTTGTCGTGATGAAAATTTGACGGTGTGGAACTTCGAATCGATTCACATATCCCATCTTGATTAAGTGCTTATCTATCGTTATCCTGGGTACGTTAGTGGCATCCGCTATCTCGCGCACATTATATCGCGGATTTTCAGCGAGCATATCTTTGATAAGGTCCGCGTCCGTCGTTGTTGTACAGCCGCTGCGGTCTTCATCTTTCAAATCATAATTGCCAGCTCTAAATCTCTCAAACCAATTGCGAACTGTCCTAATAGTCGTAGAACCATCACCGTAAACGGTACAAATCTCGTTTGCAGTGTTATTTGCCCTATCACTTTTTTTAAAGCAATGAAGCATAACATGCCGCAAATGCTTCTTTTGGCTATCCATATTGAACAGCGTATATAGGAAAAAGCTTATAAGGAACTTTGTCACCAACGAAACGTACACTAAAAAAGTAAACAGTTAGAGTCATTCATAGTGCGGCGCGGAAAGAACTTATGGGACACCCTAATACTATGTAATAGATACCAGATAAATACTGTATCATAATTGGAAATATAACAAAAAAACGTACATAATCACGTGTAGGTGGTCGAAATGCTGTTGGAGCATGGTGCGATAGTGGATTGCGCTGACTGGGATCAACGAACGGCGCTGAGAGCAGCTGCGTGGGGTGGCCACGAAGACATCGTTAAAGCACTTCTGCAGCACGGCGCCGACGTCAACAGAACGGATGACGAAGGCAGAACCGCTTTAATTGCTGCTGCCTACATGGGTCACAGTGAGATAGTCGAACACCTTCTAGACTTTGGTGCAGAGATCGATCATGCTGATAGCGACGGTAGAACAGCCCTCAGTGTCGCTGCTTTGTGTGTCCCTTCCAATCATGGCTATGCAAAGGTTCGTTTGCTTCTTCTTTTCGAAGTGCACCTAAGAACAATAATAAACGATGCTATACGATTTACTATTATTTGACGGCATGAACGAGGTTTGTTTTAACTATTAATATCTGCTATAATCTCGTAGACTTATTGATAGTCAGAACACCGATAGTCAGAACACAGTTATCAAAGTATAAATCACAGAAATGTTTCTGATATCTCAATGAATCATCGTTATCTTGTAACACAGGTGGTCACTATATTATTGGAAAGGGGAGCTGCAGTTGACCATCAAGACAAAGATGGCATGACTCCGTTGCTGGTAGCAGCATTCGAAGGCCACAGAGATGTCTGTGAACTGCTCTTGGAATATGAGGCAGACGTGGATCATTGCGACGCTACTGGGCGTACACCTCTGTGGGCAGCAGCCAGTATGGGTCACGGATCGGTTGTTGCCCTTTTGTTATTCTGGGGATGTTACGTTGACAGCATTGATAACGAGGGCAGGACCGTCCTCAGTGTGGCTGCTGCCCAGGGTGGCACTGATGTGGTGAAGCAATTGCTGGACAGAGGTACAGATCCCTGCTTCAAGATCATATCTTCTGTTTGCTCGTTGATGCCAGGGAAATTATGAATCGAATGTTGTAACTGGAAGAAAAGAGAGTATAATGAATAAACCGTGATGTTCTAGGCTTAGACGAACAACACAGGGACAATTCAGGCTGGACACCTCTGCACTATGCGGCCTTCGAAGGTCACATTGATGTCTGCGAAGCATTGCTGGAGGCTGGCGCCAAAATTGACGAAACTGACAATGATGGCAAGGGGGCCTTGATGCTTGCAGCGCAGGAGGGACACTATACTCTCGTTGAGAGATTGTTAGAACAACATGGCGCACCGATCGATCAACACGCTCATGATGGAAAAACTGCTCTAAGGTGCTCCTCTAAGTCTTAGCTTTCAGAGAATTCAAATGTTCTCCTACCGTTCATTTTATAAACTCTTCTTTTATCAATAAAACTGAATACAGACTTGCAGCTCTGGAAGGACATTATGACACTGTCAGGGTAGTATTAGCCCACAATGCCGATGTTAACGCGAAAGACGCTGATGGCAGAAGTACTCTCTACATCCTCGCCTTGGAAAACAGACTAGCAATGGCACGATTTTTACTAGAACACGCGCGCGCCGATGTAGAAAGTAGAGATTCAGAAGTGAGTGGCTACGAATTTTGATTCTAATACTAGTTTTCCTTTCCTTTTTCCTTCCCTATGTTTAAATGCATCATGGAACCAAATCAATAAATGCATTATAACTTTGTAGGGCAGAACACCTCTGCATGTGAGTGCTTGGCAAGGACATGTTGAGATGGTAGCTCTACTGTTAACAGAAGGTGCTGCCAATGTAAATGCCTGCGACAACGAGAACCGAACTCCTCTTCATTCTGCCGCCTGGCAAGGACATGCTGCCATTGTCAGACTACTTTTAGAGCACGGGGCTACTCCCGACCATACTTGCAATCAAGGTGCAACGGCTCTAGGTAAAATGCGGTTACTTTCGTTTAAAAGCATCGCATACTAGAAGTTAATGAAACTATTATTTCTGTTCATGAATTTAAATTAGGTATAGCTGCACAGGAAGGCCATGAACACTGTGTACGAGCACTCTTAAACCATGGTGCTGATCCCAGTCATTCCGATCATTGTGGCCGAAATGCAATTAAAGTAGCTGCTAAGAGTGGACACGACACGGTAGTGAGGCTTCTTGAAGAACACTCTGCTAATCAACGAATTCTCAGGCCTGGTATTAACGGAGGTAGAGATTTGATTTGCCTGAAAATAATGGATACGTTATTGTGTTAAAATCCCGCACACCTTTTAAATTTCTCCTGATGCAGGTGGAAGTAGTAGTGCTACTTCGGTTACCTCCAATTCAACAGCAGAAACAAAACCATCGTCTGCGATTCTGAATCCTCTCTCTACGCAGTACAGTCCTGCAGAATCGCCAGATTCAACGAAGAGAAGAAGCTGCGTCTCCCTGGGCAATAACTCTAGCAACAGTAAATCGAGCAGCAACTTAACAGGCAGCACGAAGAGCGATCAAGGAAAATTCAACCAAAACTCAATGGTGAATCAGGTAATAAAAGTAGGTAAACCAAACGTTTCTAATGCTTTTACCATTAACTCATAACTGCACTTGAAGAATTCTCAAGTTCCGATACCACTTCCAATCAGCTCATCCATCACACGTTTCATTAACCGCTGCATGCTTTGTTCATTCTATTTCATGCACTCGTGTACAGATCGTTTCTTATCCTTACCATGAAAAAATTTGTTTCACTTTGGTAACAACACATTCGCTCGCACCTCATACACACTTTAAGCCACTCTCAACAAACGAGAACCTTGTTCACATATGCTTCGTAGAAATCAACTCGATCTATACACGCTATGATCACAGATTACACGAAAGACCAGACCGTTATCTGACTCCTATAATTTTAGACACCATTATCTTTCACGCAACAACTACAACAATGCTCGAGAGGAGCGAAAAGCAGACCGCTCAGCAAACTTTTGTCGCCCTTGAAAAGTGAACCACAGAGCCCGATTTATGCGTCGCCACCTCATTCGCCATTAAGCGATAGCCTGATACCCTACTCGCCTACGAACACCACCAGTCCGCCGAGTGCCCAAACAGCAGCGAACGTGATACAAAACCAATTGGGGGTTTCCCTGATAACCGGGAACCAGAACATACCGTACAAGGCGCAACTGTCCGGTTACAATCACACACCAGCTATCTACGAGCCGATCAACATAAAAACCGAGATCATCGATAAGAATGATGTTAGCAAACCATTCGAGTTGACGAACGAAATGTTAGGCTTAAATGTTAGCAAAGAGAAGAAGAATGGACTGGACGAGAAGAGGAACTCGGCTGATACTCATTTCACTAGAGACACACATATGAGGATAATCCTGGGGAACAGTGGAGCTGGTGTTGGCAGGAGTGTAAAACACACTTCTGACCATACGCCTGCCAGGTAATCTTTTATCTTATAATTTATTATATTTAAATATTTTATGTGAAATATATTGCAAATCTATTTAGGAACACTTCGTGATAGTTGTTCAATCCTGTTACTTGCATGTTACAGACACAAAGTAATTGAAGTTTGGACAGTTATTATGATCATGCAGTTACTAATTTTATGAATGTAATTGAGTATAACGTAAGATTTTTTAGTTGAAAATAACAAGTCAAAATAACAATTTTCCATTTCAGTGCAAGTAACGCAAAACCAAAGCGCAATGGTTTGGTATCCAACCCAGCCATGAGACTAGTAGCAGGTGTTAGAAATGGAATTGAGAATGCAACTAATAGGAATAAACCCATTACGACGCGAGTAAATGGATTTCAGTGGAAAGCAGAGGCACGAAAGGAAACACCTTTGTAGGGAAAGGTATTGAATCAGTTTTATTTTTAAGGTTCGCAGGAAACATCTTTTGATCATGAAACCAATGTGTCTTTACCTTGAACAAATGTAAAAAAAAAAAACAGAATAAATCATAGAAGCCTTAAGAAACTGTCATTGTATAAACAAATAGAACAATATATCTGTTGTATCTCTTACAATGCACCATATTATTTCATTATGCTTCATGAATATATACAGTTTCCATTGAATTGTACACTTAGAATTAGATTCTAAATATTTTTATTCCTTTTGTTTCGTTTGATTTGTTTGTCAATTTTCATTTAAAGATTGTTGTATGAGTTCTTAGGTTTCCTTTTTGTTTTGAAAGTTTAGTTGTAGTCTCGTGAAATGATATTACAATATCCGAATGATTACACAATTTATAAAAAAATAGATGTAGACAATCCTTATGCACTGTAATCGCAGTGTCCAATTTTGGAAGTGGTATCAGTAGATTATTTGTATTCCTTTTTACTAAATCATGACATTTTTGCATGGTCAAGAATAACTATGTATAACATTAGATTTTGCAATACAGTTCTACGCTTAGCAACAGTGAGTTTTGAAAGTTTTAATTTTTTAATCTTTTCAGAATAACTGGTCTCACTAATCTATGTTTAAGTGTGTCTGTGTTGTGTCAAGTTTATGCAAATCAATAATTAATCGTTAAATGTAAGAATGTTTAATCGCGGCTGATTTCATCAGGGCAAATATCTAATCGCAATCTTAATTTCTGTGATATAGGTTGTGTTAACAGAAACACCTCAGCAGGACACTGGAATCCGTTACTGTGGCTGGCGAATCGTAATTACCAAAAAGCGAAAGTCAATAAACAAATTTTTCTCTTTTTATTTGAGCAAAATCAAATTACCTCACCTGAAAAAGTGAAGCACAAGAGAGAAAGGTCTATAAAGAACCCTGATTACAGAGGAAATTGAGTAATATACGGAATAAAAAACCAAATATTAAACAACATAGGAAAATATGTAGATTTAGATATGTAAACTTACGAAACATACTTTGTATAAATGTAACGTTAATAAATTTCTTTACTGATCTCACTAATAAACTTCATATAAACGACAGTGAACTAATTATTGGAACTTTAAGGATTAATAGTAATCATTTTACTGGAGATAATAGATTATTTGAGATTCTTTTTCTTCAGAAGACTGGATGCAGACGAAATGCATAATGTGATGTTTTAACGATTAACTTGGAAGACGATACAGAATTGTAAAGATATGTATAAATTATATTAAATGATTAAAGATATATAGCATGGTAATGTGCGAACTCAGTTACAAATACGTAAGATTATGGCCTGAAAATTTAAAGAAAAAAACGTGTGTAAATACACATCTTTCATGTATTGTGCACGACCATATTTATTATATTGTAATAGGTGCAAAATAAATAAAAGACAAAATATCAACACTTATCGTTTGTTTATTTGTTTACTATTACTACTACTACTAGATCCAGTCAAGTTAGTGACTACATCTACAATGTTATAAAAGAGTGTAAGTATATTCTCTGTAATAAGATATCTTACCGAAGGCAATATCCTGCATTTTTAAGAAATGGAATATTGGAATAAATACTTCACATTACAGTGAATACATATTAGATCGTAGACTATCAGTTAGGAATAAACAAAAGATAAGAATTCTTATCGTTTGTAGGTATAAGATACTATAAAATGTTATATAATTAATACCCGTATAAAAGGAAATGGAACTTGATTTTCTTAGCATAAAATGAAAATCTGTGGTACATTATACACATTAAATTTTATTCCTGTGACTTAAGAATAAATATGAAGGTGACAAAGATTCTGTTAAAGCAAAAAATAATATTAAAGACAATTCTTGGTGTGTGTGCTGGTATTATATTAGGTAGTATCCTTAAAAGTTTTACA